AACATGTTTAAGTGTGAACGTGTGTCGGTGTTATGTGTTGCTGGCAAATTTGGAGGTCGCTTTTGTGAACTGTACCTAATATCGTTTCCCCCGTTGTATCGCCGATCAGAATTGCAGCCTTTGTTGTTGCGAACCTTCAGCCTACATTGGTAACCATACTGAGTGGTCGGCTGGCGAATGTTGGTGCAACATTGCTTTACAATTCAGCTCTGACTCAGTTAATTTTCTCAGCAGAATGGCCGAGTGCTTTTGTGTGTGCACTTTTTATGACAGAAATCGATTTCTCGGCTAACAATGTCTTTAAAAGGGTGAAATGCCTAAAATGTTAAATGGTTAGGCATCACATTCGTTGTAGCATTGTTGTGACACCATCTGTGTCAACACGAGTATGGTTTCGTCATATCTGTTATAGAAGATTAGAAAGACGGGGATGTGTCGTGTAGCTAAGAACCTACGTAATTACTTTCGTGTTTTTTAGATGGTCGTGGCCTATCTACGAATAGCCTCACCCTTCAAATCCGCCACTATACTATTCTCAATCATGCTCGTTTCTAATAAATTGACTACTGCGCCGTCATTATCTGCATGAGCCTAATTGAATGAAGGATATTTGTAGCTGTAGCATGGGTAAGTAGGGCACATTGTATATTTGTCTGTGCGCGCGCGTGCGTGTGTTTGTGTGTGTGTGTGTGCGCGCGCGTGCGTGCGTACGTGCGTGTGTGCGCGCGTGCGTACGTATGCGGGTGTGTATACTTTATTGTCGATAAGGAATATGCTTGATTCAGATTGACGAATATGTGCTATGTGTAGGAGAAGTCTAGCAACAGCAGGTGTTGTGTGTGTGTGGTGTGTGTGTGTGTGGTGTGCGTGCGGTCGTGCCGTGCGTGCGTGCGCGGTGCTTGCTGGCGCGTGCGTCGTGCGTGCGGCAAGCAGTGCGTGCGAGCGTGCGTTGCGAGCGCGCGTGCGTCGATTGTGCCGTCTGCGTGTGCGTGTCCGTGCTGCGACTGTGCCGCGCTGCGCGCTGTGTGACGTGTGCTACTTTGTGCTCCCGACGTGTGTGCGCTGCCGCGCGCGCGCTCGTGTGTGTGTTGTCGGTCTTACACCTAATTCTCCAGTGCTTATCGCGCCAATCCAGCAATGATGAGTTCCTTTTATAACAGTTAAACAGTGGCGGACGTTTTCATGAACCCCTGTTCGAAAAGGAGTTGATTTAATTGATTTAACCAAGTCGAGCGAGCCCCTTATTTTTTTTTTACTGACTCATTGTAAATTTAAATGATGTTAACTGATTGGTTCATCACAGAGTAACTGGCACGAGTGAACTGTGAAGGAAAGCCGCCCCTCCTGTGCTCCGACGTATGATATATATGATCTCTTCGCTCTCTCTCTCTCTCTCTCTCTCCTCTCTCTCTTCTGCTCTCTCTCTCGTCTCTCTCTCCTCTCCTCTCTCTCTCTCTCTCTCTCTCTTTCTTTCTCTCTCTCTCTCTTCTCATCTCTCTCTCTCCTCTTTCTTTCTCTCTCTCGACTCTCTCTCTCTCTCTCTCGTCTCCTCTCTCTCTCTTTTCGCTCTACTCTCTCTCAATCTCTCTCTCGCTCTCTTCTTCCTCTCTCTCTTTCGCTCTCTCTCTCTCTCTCTCTCTCTCTCTCTCTCTCTCTCTGCGTGCGTGCGTGCGTTCGTGCGTGTGGTACGGGCGGGCAGACATGATCCTGCAGACAGTGGGTGAAAACATGTGTGATTAGTCTTAGATCATGCACAATGGCATGTATACTGGAATCATCATTGCGACGGAGAATGGCAGCGCGCGACTACCGGTAGCCGCTCGGTTATCGCTGTCGGTAAACATCGGCTGCGTCATTTTCGCATCAGTTAGAAGTCGTCGCTGATAACGGCTGTCGTGCGAGGAAACGTACCTAGCTGTCGCCTTCTGCCAGCTGTGGCCAGGTGACGATGCTCAGTGCACTGATAAACAAGGTAAACAATGTGCTGTGTGCGTGCGTGCGTGTACGTGCTTGTGTGTATACGTGCGTGCATGTGTGTGAGAGATTGACACACAGAGAGAGAAAGAAATGGGCACGAATTCGCTCTAGGTGGAGGTGGGGGGATCTACGGTCGTGTGTGTACGTTTCTAGTTGCACCTGCAAACGCATCCTATCTATCGTTCAAGTGTGCCACCCCATACAGAAGCTATCGTGCTTATCCTCAACAGGTGTTTAATCCGAAATTAGCAAGCGGTATGTTTGCACATCAGATCTGGCAAGAATCGTAACACCGGGAAGGAGTGGCTAGCCACGACTAAGCCTGTCCATGCGAGATTTGGCATGTTGCGGACCGAGTGGGTCCCCGTCTGGCTCTGTTATAGGACTAACCTATCCGTATAGAATGTGTACGTGCGTTCGTGGTACCGTAGTATGTAGTATGTATGCGTACGTGCTCTTCTGTATACGCGGCCGAGTGAGGCACTGTTAGTCTTGGCGGAGAAACTGAGTCTGGCCGTATATCTGGTTTCACAGTTGTGGTCCTCGTTGTTTGTGATGGTTGGTCGTGCTTTAAGCTAGCGGGCGATTTTCTAAATTATCGCTGATGTGAAAACAGAAAATACATTCGGCTGAAACAGAAGTTATGTGGCTCTCTCGAACGGCTGAGAGCGACGCAGTTAACGTGTTTAACTGCAGTATTACATATCGACGAATTACCACTTGGAAGTGGGAAATAATCTGTAATGGGTAACTTTAAGGGGTGCTAGGAGAACGAAAATGTCAGCTTCGCCGGCTGTCCACTCACAAACGTCGCAAGAACCTGTACGTTGGGCTGGGCAAATCTATTTTCAGTTGGTTCTTCTAGCAGTGCTTTTATTAAGTAATGGAACTCCGTCATCCAGACGTAATTGCGCATGGAAACTGCCTTCTCGTGTTTTGACGTAGTAATTCTTGTCCTTTTCTTAAAATTCTAGGCCATAAATAAAGCTCTCGGAATTACACACTGATTTTAAATTAAGCGTAACGAGCAATTTTATCCAGTTTTATTCTTGCATGTAAGTAATTTTGATGTCCCACGCCCCATTGATCCCACTCCAAACACAGCGTTGGGAAAGTTCATCATTGCGTCAGAGATCTGCCGGAAATTGGCGATGGAATTGATTTCACAAATAAGCCGACTATTATTGTCAATTGAGCACTGACCCGAAGAGTTTTGTAAGTATATAATTTTATAGCGTCGCATAATTTGAACGCATGGTAATAGTCGGCAGGGGAACGCGACATCTAATGGATCGATCATTCATGGGTCCAAGCGGGAATGGTTAGTAGTCAGTAGCCAGCCTACACTGACCATTGTTTGCTCATGTTGATAGTTGCATGCACATGAATTAGGTTAATGAGTTACATTGCCCAATATTGACCCCGCTGTTAATTCGTATCCATGACGCTGTACAATCAAGTGTACTTCGGGGTTGTACAATGTAATACATCCCCTGAGTCTGTGCAATCAAGTGCTGCCCGTTGATGTACTATCTAATACATGCTATGTGGTTGTACATTCAAGTGCGCCTTGGGTTTGCACAATGTAATGCATACGATGTGACTGTACAGGCAAATGTTCCGTGGGATGTAGAAGGTAATACAAACCGTGTGGCTGTACAATCAAGTAAACCCTGGGGTTGTAAAATGTAAGATATGCCATTAGTCTGTGCAATGAAATGTATCCTGCGCTTTTAGGATGTAATACATGTAATGGAGGTGTACATTCAACTGTACCTTGCAGTTGCATCGCGCATCATGTGGCTGCAAAATAATGTTATGTACTGTGTGGTAGCGCAGTGTTCTGTGAGAGTAAATTATATCGTGATATCGTAGAATGCAATAAAGTGCGCCATGCGGGCTTATAATTTAGCTATGCTGTGTGGTAGTGCTCTTCGAGTAGCTGTCCTGAAAATTAACATCATGTGCATCATAGTTTATGTACTATCAAGAGTCCATAATAGAGACATGTATAATCGTCATAGCATCGTGAGACACGGCAACACACGCGCATTATAACTTCTCGTGCATTTTTTAGGAGCCATGCTACGTGCTACAGTGAGTGCACTGATGCATTATCCCCCCCCCCCACCCCAATGACTCACATATCACTTGAAGCATTATTTTCTCAATCGCTGTGCTCGGTCACATATACTAGGATGCCACCCAGCGCTTTTTTTTAATACGCGCCACCATTTCCGAAGATACATGCACCGCATACATGTGTAAGTCAGCTCATTACCTCCGCCCAACAGAGTTGGAGGAGGTTATGTGATCGGTCTCGTGTGTTCGTGTGTTCGTGTGTTAGTGTGTTCGTGTGTTATTGTGTTCGTGTGTTCGCGCGATCGATATTAGCGCGTCGAGTCAAGCCAGCCAGCCAGCCAGCCACAGCCAGCTCCAGCAGCAGCCAGCAGCGAGCGGCGAGCCAGCTCGTAACACATACATGTTACATGGGTATATCGTGGGTTATTCGTGTATTCGTGAGTCGTATGGCCTATGGCGTATGTCGCTGGCGGAGGTATGCACTCTCCGTGAGTGCCCTCTGTCTAGTTTGTTACATGTGCCTGTTCTTCCCAACCACGTGCACTATACATAGTGTCTCGACAGTACAATATATAGTGGTACGTGGTGGGGTAATTCGGTACGTGTTGTGTACAGGCGGGGGGGGCTAGGTTGTGAGGCAAATGAGGCTGGGCTGTGAGGCACAGGGGGCTAGGTAGCTCTAGAACTATAGCCCTTCGGGCCTGTGGCAGAGCGAAGGGCTACAGCTCTAGAGCTAGGGAGCTAGGCTGCGAGGCACTGAGTGCTGCAGTCGCTTGGCCTGGTGTTGTTGTGATTAGCGCGAACGGAGGCAGTTTAGGTAGCCCGGCTGATTGACCCTGTCCCGATGACAAAGCTCGCAATCTGCTAGCAGTTTGCCGCTGCCAGCGCGCAGTTCCCACACTCAAGCCGAGCTGTTGCCGTGCCTGCAGGGTCGAATACATTCATTCATAGGGTTCGGCTGTGTGCAAGTGTGCTGCAGTGCGTGCGTGTGTATTAGCTGTGCACTCCGATAATAGATCTCGTCAGCAAGTAGCATATATACCACGGATAGTATACGCGAGTGCAAGTGTCAGCTGCTTAGGCCGCGTGTGTACATAATACACTAGTAGCTTTCCGTTGTTGGATGTTGTACCCTGGCAGAGAGAGAGAGAGAGAGAGAGAGCATCCTGGGTAGCAGTGCCTGCCTCGCTGTAAGCATTGATTGATCCAGCGCAGCTACACCGGAGCTCATTGAGCAATGAGAACACGGTCGGGAGTGGATGTGCATGCTCTCGTGCATGGTACTAGCGGTTGCAACATTGGATATTTTGGTGAATAAACCCCGTTGCCGTCTGTAGGACATTATTCGATGTTTGCGAGAGCGACTGCTGCATAATCTCGCACGTGTGGTAGAAGGAGCGAGGAACGTCGGACGCGGCGTGTAGATAAGGAAAGTAGAGTCTTGGCGTGCGAGCGCCGGTCTGTCAAACACGCGAACGATCTGCAACGATCTCTCGGTGCGTAACGTAGTAGACTCTGGGACGCTTCGGGAAATTTCGCGCTCTTGCAAGTGACGCGTGGATCGTGATATCACATATCGGACCGCTGCAAAAAGAAGAGCGTCCACGTGCGCGTAGTTGCGTACAGTAGCCGTGTTGGCACTCACACACATTAACCTTGACCTGAAGGTACGCGTACAACTGCGGCGGAGCGAACTCGCCGCGTTTTGTGTTGCGCGAGGAAAGCATCATTGTCGATTTTCGTCGTCTTGCTTTGCGGACCTGCGCGTAGTAGACGTGCGGTGACTCGTAGTACATCGGTTGGCTTTCGCCCGTGCACCTGAGGACATTGACGTCGTGTAGACCAAATTGTTACTATTGAATACCAAATGCACGTCTGCTACCGTTCAGGCCGATTTCTATAGAATTTCACCTTGAGCCGACAGTAAGCTAGTGTAAGTGGTGAGCCACTGTGCCCCGGTACATAGCCTATACACAGTAGCACGCGCGTGCTCGCTGTAGAAGGACACGGGGGTCTTCCTGTGTCTGCGGTCGTAACTCTTTGTTAACGTGAATGACAAAAACAGTAAAGAACTTAAAGAGAACGGTTTTTGCATGGAACGATTAGGTCAGAGCGAAGCTATTGCGTCCGCGTTCGCCTCACCCTCTGAGAACACGTCCGTGAGTCACAGAACACATCTGTCACTTGACTGTAAAAACATTCGTGAGTCACAGAAGATATCGTTTGCAGGACTGTGAGAACGTTCGTGAGTCACAGAAGACATCGGTCACTTAATTGCCTATGAAAACATTCGTGAGTCACAGAAGACATCGTTTACAGGACTGTGAGAACATTCGTGAGTCACAGAAGACATCGTTTACAGGACTGTGAGAACATTCGTGAGTCACGGGATATCGCCTTAATATAGAGAACTTTTTCCAGCCAGAGACGAGATCGCCCACCTAACACAAGCGTCAGAACACGTGGGAGAGACGGAACATATTTTGCACTGCGTCGCCCAGCATCCACGCCGACCAGCCGCGTTGTTAGTTGACCCAGTAAACTTCAATCAGCGACTATACCGGAGAGATTGATTTCTATTCAACTCTGTAACATTGGGCGTTGGTATTGCGTTTGATGTGGACGGTAATAGCATGCGATAATTCTCAGTTCAGATCGTCTCGATAACTTCCATCATGGTTATGAAGCAGGACGTCTTGGCATCTGCCGACAGAGACTTTAGCAACATGGTGAACCAGTACCTTGTTCAGGTAAGCAACGAAAACCTGGGAAAACAAACGGGGCAAGCCATAGCGAGCAAGTATAAAGCTAGATCAATCAAACTAATGGAAAGCAATTTGCAGGCGCGCGTTGTTGTGAAGCGTTTACATGTGCGTTTCGAGTAGTTGTCGACGAGCCGCATGAACAGCTGGGTTTAGAGGCAAGGTTTATTTACTAGCTTCGGTTGCCACGAAAAGGGGCCATCCATGAGAGAGTTCCCAACGAAACGAATGAGTCGAATCGACTGTGCAAACGACTGACTCTAGAGTGCGTGGTCGTGTGTGTTGAATTCGGGACCTCACTGAATATTTCAGTGAGAGTGTGTGCAAGAAGAGCGATGGCTGTTTCCATGTCGAACAGATTATTGGGGTGGACATCGCGCACGGAGGCCCCCATGCGCGCGTGCATTTCATAACGTTGCACCGTGCGTGAATGTATGTGAAGTAGAAGAAGTATGCGTGCGTGTGTGCGTGAATGTACGCGTGCGCGCGTGTGCGTGCTTCCGTATGTGTGTGTGTGTGTGCGTGCGCTCGGTGGCGCTGGCGTTTACCGCTGATGTACTTGCTGACTGCGAGTCGCACACAGACTCGGAGGCAAATGCTAGACCGCGTCTGTTTGGCAGTGAGCCGAAATGTCAAATATCGGGATGACGCAGGGGGGGTTTGTTTGTAATCGCTCGGTAATTGATCACGACTCTCGGCCGCTGGCACCGCATTCTTACGCAGCTCGCTGGGCTAGTGTAAATTTACCGAGCGAAAAACGTATCAGGTCCGGGTCTCGGAGAAAGCAGCAGGACATCGATTTCTTTGCATAGATCATTATTAAGAAGGATTGGTAGAGCTGCATTGCGGGGCGGGTGGTAGCTCTAGAACTATAGCCCTTCGCTCTGCCACAGGCCCATGGCCTGTGCCTGTGGCAGAGCGAAGGGCTATAGTTCTAGAGATAGGCGGGTGGGTGATCGAGAGAAACGGCTAGGATAGCGGTATTATAGTTCTAAAGCACTTGTATTGTATTTTATTGTAATTTTCATGGTTGCGTTGATTATCGGTTATTTCTGTTTGTCCATGTCTGTAATACGCTCGTTAATCTTCTTTTGTATCTGACAGCCATTTGCTTTCTTCTTGCCCCCCGAGCTTAGTGATCCCCTCATATTATGTGTCATCATTTAATTATTGGCTTTTATTGTTGGCAGTCCGGCGACATTACGTGAATTCTCATTGACTCATCATCTGCTTGTTCATCCCCTTGATTCATGTTCATATCGCTCCATCAAATTATGCTCGCAGTCATTGGATGTAGCTATCTGAGTGCGGTGGATCCGGGCGACAATTTGCGGACTATTTGCCTCCGCCATATGCGCCCTTTATGTGTCAGCTTACTGCCACACCCCCGCTGTACATTAGTGGTAAGCTCCATCTCCGTTATTCCCTTGCTATGCATAATACATGTCAATGTTTTCCTCTGTTCTGGTGCTTGCCAGAGCTAATCTCTTGTCATTAATTTTCCTAATTTGTCATTGAAAACCGTGATTCATTACTTGCGTATTGTTCCAGTTCTGTTGATGTGTTATTACGATGGTCGCGTTATTGTGAGGGCAAGCGGGAGTGCTGCCTATGCGTCATGCGCATGCATGCCAGTGGCACTAATAAGATGAAGTAATCAATCTATTCATTTAATAGTGCATCTCGGGCTAATGCAAACACTGTTTACGATAGCTCCCCTGATGCAGGCTAAGTGTGTGTGCGCGCGCGCAGATGAAGAGAGTGGGTGGGGAGAGACACTCGCGAACAAAAATGTACATTAACAGCAGGTGCAGTCTTCTCTGACACGCGCGTGCCAGCAAGTTACCAGTCTCGAGAGAGATTTCAATGTTATTCTTGACGTTTTGCAAACACGCAACGTATCTGTGTGCCCTTGCCGGTATGTTGCAGCTGACACACCTTATTTAATTCCGGCTATATACATTCGCGATTTTACGACCTATAAGAAAATCGTAGCGAACCTCTAAACACGATTATGGCAACAGCAAGGCTCTGCTAAAGTGCTAGCCGTTTGAATGCGTCTGTGTGTTTTCCCCAATTAAAACAACACGTCCAGTCACCTAGTCAGTGTACACACACCTGGTATGTGCGTGCGTGCGTGCGTGCGTGCGTGCGCCCTGGTAGCAGCTAGCATTATAATCGGCCGCGTGGCGTTTGCGGTAGCAAATCGAGAGTAGTTCTACGATATAGAGTCACATCTTTCTCACACGCTTTCCCTCGCCTTCCACCAGCCGCCTATTTTCTCCTTGGTGCGTTACTGCTAATCGTGGCCGCCGCTAGGTAGAGCTTTCTTCGTACGCGTTAACGGTTCCCACAGCACGCTGACGAAGTTCCCCATAACGCTCGGGAGGGGAGGTCACGTTTCTTACGACTTCTTTCACGTTGCCATGCGTGCGCGTTTGCTCGGACACGTGCATATCCGTGTCCTTCTCTTGCCTCGGGACGCTTATCCGCCTCGTCATCAGGGATTAGTGTGTGGGCACATCACGCACTGCCGGCCATGTTTGCTTCCACCCCACCCCCGCCGTGAATGAGTTATGATCTTCTTTGTCGGGCGGATGATTTTAGAAATTCGCGATACACGCCGATGGGAGAGAATATGAAAAGCGAGAATCTGGGGCAACAGGTGGGCTGACTAGCGAGCAGTGCGTGCGGCTGATCCGGGGATTCAGTGAGTTGCTACTATGCTTGGTACATAATATAACTAAAACGAAGTTTGTGTTGGAAGTTCAACGCCAGGGTGAGTGAACAGAAAGAATCAAAAATTCGTGTTGGCGTGGCGCGTTATTAGCTGGTTGATGAATAATTCATCGCGCGTTCGAATGTATGTATTGGTTACGTAATATTTAACACTCCCTAGTGATTATCAGCTATATACAGATTATAATCTCGAGCCGAGGATGTCCGCCCTAATGTGTTTTAATAACAACACTATACATAATTCGTGTTAGACGTGAGCGTTCCAGAAAAGGTCCGTATAGTGAACTCACCTCGCCGGCAAATCCGACCTATGTGTCGAGTTTACCCGCCTGCATGTGGTCGGCCAACTCGGCTCGTGTGTCTAGATCTCCGACTATACATACAGACTGATGATTGAATAATTATTTATTATATGATTATTCTCCACGCATAATAGTTGTTATGTAGTAGTAAAGACTAAAGTTTATTCCCACAAAAATGCTAGGCAGGCGCATGCAGCTACTATAATTTAGAGAACGACTAAAAAAACTTTGCATAAACACTTATATTTATATACAAATACACCTTTTCTCCATGCAAAAGAAGGTTTTCAGTACGTGTATTTGTATTTAAATTATATGCAATAGATTTAACAATAGATTTAGCAATAATAATAATAATAATAATAGACGTTTCGACGTCGGAGCGTGAGATTCATCAAATAAGTTAGCCCGTGAGCCAATCGAGCCGTGCTCCAGGCGGGTAAACTCGCCACGATGCGAGACGATTTGCCGGGTGGGTATGAAAGTGCCCGTGCGAATAGCACAGCGTGATCCCCCGCGATGTGTAATTTAACACATTGATGTTGTTCTTGTTGTGCTTCATCTCCAATAAACACCTGCCATCTGTGAATGCCTTTCACTTCCTTGTGGTGAATCACATGTGAAGTGTATGTAAATACAATTATGATGATACAGAGCTGCAACTGAATCATATTTAGTTGTACACAAGAATTAATATATATATATATGTATATGTTATTGTATATTATATTATGTATGTGTGTATATTATGTAAATTATAGCATGATTGTGAGGGCAATATGAAGTTTTGTAAACCCCGAAAATCAAGTTGTATTGCTCGAGACTGGGAGTAATAATGATTTTCATAGTTCACTAAGCGCCATGTTTCTCTGACAAGCATGCAATAATTGTTTTGTTATGTGTAATTTCAGGAGTAAATAATTAATACTCGGGTAGGGGAGTCTTCCACATTCGTAATCTAGTGAGAGACTACCCTTGGTCTACCTATGATTTGCGTGACACAATTAACATTTAACTCAAACGTTACCTTCAACATCAAATAACTTTCATCCCTAATTGTTTTTTTCGTGCTATATTCTTGTATGCAGGGATATGGAAGGAAATTTACGGATGGATAATGAATTTATGGAATTCGAATAGAATATAGCCATGCAACCAACACGGCTATCATTGAATCACCACTTTGAGCTTTGAACTATCAACAAACAGAGTGAAGTCATTCGGTGGTTTTGCCAGGGAATTTCGTATGGCACAACTGCAAGTTTTTTTGGTCACATTCTAGGTTTTTCGCTCGTTTCACCAGAGCTGATATATATACCGAAGTGATGACGTCACGGTGGCATGACAACGAACCTACTGGTTCTACACAATCATATGCTCTGGTAACATTAACTGCGTGTCGTGTTTTGTACCCGATTGTAACCATCATTCTGAGAGTCATTATTGCAGTTTTTATAGATTTCCAAAGGATGGAAGTGAAAAGATAATTAAAAAAAAAAAAAATTAACAACAAAAAAATGTGAAACTTTTTTTTAATTCATTAAATATTGTAAGATCGACTTGCTACCGATGCTTTACCGCTGTCTGCAGCGCACACACTCCCGCTGTGTTTTACGTACGCACAACATTTTCACGCAGTTAATGTTATGGAGCCAGTGGCTTGTGTAGAACCAGCCCGTACGTTGTCTTGCAACGTGACGCTCACACTTCGGTGGTGTGTGTGTGTGTGTGTGTGTGTGTGTGTGTGCGTGCGTGCGGTGCGTGCGTGCGTCGTGCGTGTGCGCGTTGCGCGGTGTGCGTGTGCGGTGCGGCGACCGCAGCTGGCCGCCATATCGCTGGTCGCTGTGCAGTCGTGCTGCGAAGCGATACCTTTGTGTGTGTCTATAGCACTGGCAGTAATATTTATCCAAAAACTATTCATAAATAAAATAATACGTTGGTACCTCA